AAAAAAAAAAAAAAAAAAAAAAAAGCTTTGTTCCAGTGAAAAGGTCCATAGAAAAGCAGAATGTTAATCTTATCAAGGTATTTATCACAGTAGATCGGATTTTAAGAGTATAAAATAAACCCTTGCATTTTTTCAGTGTGGGTGCTTATAAAATTTAAGCAAAATTGAAACTGTGAACACCATTTTCTGCTTTATTGATTATTATACTCTTCTGTTTGTTGTTATTAGTTTCCACTTCTTACTATGCCAGTTACCCTCATGAGATACACAAGAAACTTTTATAACAAATATTGTATTTGTGTAAAAACATTTTGCTTTATAATGCTTGTGAGTGTCAGATTTTATAAAGTTTTTTGCACAATTTTGAAAGATGAAAAATCTGAGTTTTCTGAATTCCTTTCTTTGCAAGTATCATTGAAATGAAGGGCAGCAGACTTCTCATGTTTGACCTGATTTATGCACTACTACTTTAAACCATAAAGATTCCATATCAGATTTTAGTAAGTCCCTACAGGCTTTTATAGCAAACCTTTGGGCCCATAAATGCACATTGTTTCCAGTGCAGTGCTGATCAGATGCCTTGAAAATGTAGAGGCACTGAAAAGATTGAAATACTAATACAAAACAATTTTCTATTAATTTTCTAATGTGACTTGTGTATGAGACATGAAGGTTTTGTCCATAAATTGTCCTGATGTCTTTCAGGCCTTTAAAATAATCTAATTCTCACCCTTCATTGATGTGCCAATGCATCAGAACTGTGAGTACCCGTTAGCTTTTACCTTGAATATGGAATGTAAGAACAAAACTGAAACAAACAAAGAAAGCATTTAAAATGCTTTGGCAAATAAGTAAACAAAAAAACAAAAAACCGTTTTCATAGCATTTGAAATTTAGGTTTCACCAATATTTAAGACATTTTGATTTTTCAACACTTGGCAGAACTATTTTCAGTTGACTTCTTTGCAGGAACATTGGTTTAATCCATTTTTTTGAGTGATAGAGATGAGCTTTGAATTATGTAAAGATCTCAATACATCTTATATAATTTTTGTGGAGTTTATTAAACTACTTTAAAGATTGTATAGTCTATTTATTGTATGTATGTACATACAGTCTGATGCTTAAAAAATCAAAAAAGTGGATTCCGTAAAACCTGGCTCAGTCTTGTTTAGACTATTGAATATCGTTTTAGCCTTGTGCACTGGACTCTACCTCTGTATAGGAGAATTTTTTTCCATATTCTTAATTAGTACTGATTCTGTGATTAACTTGGTTATGTTTCTTGCACTAAGAATTAAAAAAACAAAATCTGCTGTAAGTGTGGATTTTTTCTGTAGTTTCAGTTTTGTAGTATGAATCACTTATACCTAGAAGGACATTTCTTTCCCCCTTGGGTGTAGAATTCTTCTTTCTGGTCCAGTCTGTTCTAAATTTGCCAAAAAATACAGTACCTCTGAATTCATCTTTAGTGAGTGTAATTTGTTTGCAAGGGATTAATACCATGTAATTAAAAGTTGATTATTTAGGATTATTCTATGTGCTAGTGTAGTTTTTGAAGTGGCATGGGATGGAGAATCATCGTGAGGGGAAAACCTTTCAGAGTTAAAACAAGAGACCAAAGAGGGTTTTATATGGTTCAGCAGCTACAAAAATTCATACGTTCATTTCTGCCCATGTATTTTCTGGAGTAAGAGCTTAGTTACTACGGTGGTCAGGGGTGCAAAAACTAAGAGGAGTTGCAGACCTCATCACTCTCTTAATGAATGACTTATCTGCTTGGAGCACATTGTAGATTACACGTTGGGACTCCGAACATACCTGAAGAAGGCATCTTTTAGTGGTCTAGTCGAACTCCCTTTTGCTGCCCCATGATAGCACTGAGACAAGACATCTGTCTCTTCCTCATCTCTCTGAAGGGTAGTTTGTGTTTTGTTGACTATTTTGACAGCTTTGTGTGACATGTTGCAACCTCTCTCTTTTGAGGTCTTATTTCATGGAGAATCTACATATGGAGTAAAACAATAGATAGATTCATAGGGGGGGGACATTCCTGTGAAATGGCAAAAAGATGCAAATCAATTCTTCAAGTAGATGCACGTGTTTCTATTGTTTAAAAAAATTCCTGACCCATGCCCTTAGTGATACTGGTTGGCAATTTCTGCCTCCTTTTGTGCTTGTCCCATATCCTAGATGTGTTATACTCAAAACATATTTAGTGGACCACAGACATGAATAAACATGTCTAGTGTTCAACCGTTGGCTTTTTGAATATTCCTTCATCCCACACACCTGTCCTACACAACCCTTTTATATTTTTATTTTGTCAATCAGTGTAAGTCTGAACTGCGGCCTAGAAGTAGCAGAACTGTCATCAGAAGTTTCACAGCCTTCTAATGCAATTTTTGTGTTCGTATAGAGATGGATGACAGCATGACATCTGGTAATCTTGGCTATTTATAAAAATAGCATTATATGGGAGTGGGTACAGAAATATGAAAGGTCACAACCTGAGAGAACAAAGCCTTAACAGCTGAGGCAGCCAAAATTATTTACAGTTACCCTTTGTACTCTCAAACATTGCATTTTCCAATGACACGTGTAAGCTGCTGATGGAAATGGCTTACATCACCTGCTGAGTCTGAATTAAATTGCTCTCTGCTTATATGCTGTATCATAAAGAATTCACCCACAGCCCCCTAGCATCTACTCAGTAATTCCTGCCTAGTTTTTAATGTTCTCTGTACATAATGCATGTTTTATAAATAGTTTTACTTCGGTGTTTTTGGTGGTTGCGAGCATATACCATTACCCCTTGAAAGCTGATTCTTCACAGGGCTGCTAACAACAGAATTCTGAGCACAGAACAGATTTGTGTGTGAAAAGCCAACAGTGCTCAGGTATGTCTGACCAATACTAGAAGTTGGGTGCTGTGCTTGGTGGAGTATTAAGCTTTTCGTCCATCTATTGTTCCTGAATGTAAAAAGTTGCTCCCCTTAGATTTTCAGGAAGTCTCTAATTCAGCCATAAAAAAGAACTAGTGGGAACTAGTACTGCCATAAAACTAGTCTTGATACTACTGTAGCATTATTAAGGGAAATGGATTTTAATGGAGAAATATGTCAAGAAGAGAAGTGGGTTAATATGAAGAAGCAAAAGAAATTGTAGAGGCCACATGAAGCATAGAATTTTACCCACCCGGTCCTACACAAAGTTCTTATCTGCTGGTTGAGCTCAAACATAT